AATTTTTCAATTTCACTGGATATCTTCTCGATTATTAAATATTCAGTTTTTAAACGATATTCCAATTGATTTGCCATTAACAAAAAAAAAAAATTGGAATTATTTAAATAAAAAAAAAATTAATGTTGGCGGGATCGAACCCCAGCCGTCGGCGTGCCAGCCGAACACGTTACCACTAGGTCAACGCGCTCATTTAAAAATGTAAATTCATTAGTGGTATATATTCAATACATTGAATAATTTTTTTCATTAAAATTCCACAAGATGTGGTTTCCCCCTTCCACACGTTCCACAGTCGGCTAAATTTCAGTTAAACAAATAAAAAAACATGGGGTGAGTGAGGAAAATGGGATTTCAACGCAATGAAAATTGCTTTCTAGCCACATTTATTCCGTAATCATTGTATAATTATGATTATTACATTATAATCTTTACAAGATCTCAAAACTCAGTGAAAAGCACAGAGTTCCTCACTCGTGTGCGCGATAATACATATCAGGAAGAATCAGAGTACATACAAGAGGAAGCAAATATATTAATGAGATAGTCTAGTATTTTGTTTGTTACTCTTTTTTGTACATTCCCACAGATAATTATGCTAAATATTCATCAAAATCTTATCATTATGCGAGAAGAGAAGGAGAGATTCTATAAATTAAAAAAAAAAATCAGTCACATGGAGATAAACGATATGTTACTCCTATTTTTTGAATCGACGAAAGGAAAATGCGTAGAAAACAAATTTTTCTTTCATTCTGAAGAGGAACAAAGGTGTTCCATATTTTTCTGAACCAATTAATTTTTTATCTGGATTTCTAATTAAATGAAAGTTAGTATAAAAATGAGATAATGTCAGATCAATTTCGTCTAAGTACATTAGGATACCCAGGGAATTCCGGGATATTTAATCTGCTTAATTAAATCACCAAGAAATAATTAAGAATCACATCAGTACAAGAGGCGATGAAATCTACCAAAAGCAAATATCCGTTTTGAATACATTTCACAATTTATCGATAACAGAATCATTCATTTCATGAATGATCCCAAGAAAAATTTGCAAAACCGAGGGAATTGCCCCCCTCCCCTGCCCCCTAATCACCCTTTAAAAAAATCATGACTCGTCTGATGTTTAAATCCTATCGAAATTCGTGAAGATTAAAAAAATCTTCTCATCCTTCCACAGATCCCTAAAAGTCTGTTTTAAAAAATTTAATAGAAAAAACTATCATTTCTTTTTTTTTACTCGAACCTCTATAAGAATTCTATTGGTTTTCTGTTGGAATTCTATTATATCTTCTTTTAAATCTTGGCTAGGTCAGTCAGAAGAGTGTGAGATTCAATATCCCGAGGAATTCTCCTGTCCCTCTATATTCTCGACAACTGCTGCAGAAGATTACTGGGTAGTACAGCCTCTAGTTTATCCATAATATAATAAAAAGGTAGACTGAACCACGCAAGAATGATTCTAGCGACAAATCCCATGGTATCCGGATATTGATGAGTCAGGAGTGCCAGGAGTGCCGTGAAAGAGCAGAGGCCAGCAGTAAAAAGAATGAAAAATGGAAGTTCCTTCTTGGGATAAACACTGACATCATGAAAAGCTGGGAGCAATTCCCGATCAGCGCACTCAGTGCAGGTGGGATAAGGATAAAATAGATGGCCCCTCTCCAGGGGATATGGTAGCATTCTGAAAGTGCCCTCCCACGTGCAGTGAAGGAGATTGAGGGCGCCCTCCATTTGCTTCCAGTGTGCAAGATGAAAAAAAGCGTAAGCAATGGCCTCTGAGTCTCCACGTTTCAGCACATGCTCCGGTGGTAAAATCAGGGGTTTCATCTCCAGAAGATACTTGGGCACGTGGGGATTGAACTCGACAGCCCTGTGGATGGCCTCGACTGCTGACATTTCCGCTGTCGTCAGCCCTCTCTTGCTGGCTATATCAGGTGAAAATTTGTCTGCCACGAGTCGGGCTTTCAGCAGAGCTGCTGTGTAGCAGATTGTCGCTGATTTTGGAAGGCTTATGTCGTCGTATTTTGCCAGGACCGCCTGGACGTCGGCGTACGCCTGCATCTCCAGCAGGGCCTCGATTAAATTTTCGTGGATGTTCAGAACGTTCATGATGGGGGGCACCTCCTTCGTCAGATCTCGAAACATCTTCACAGCTTCCTTCAGTTTTCCCAATTTTCTTGCACACATCGCGAGACGACGTCTGATGTAAATAAGAACGTTTGTGTCTCGTCTGTGAATTGCCTCAGCTATCGTACCCTGGTGCTGGGTATTCTGGGACTTGCGGTAGTAATTCTCTGCCACTTTCAGGGCTTGTTTCAGGATCTTCTCTGCCTCCAGGATTGTCGTTGCCTCCTCCTCAGCCAGGAGAATGTACGCTGGTGCACAGTCTGGATTACGCTCCAGGGCACTGTGCGCTGCTTTTATACGAACCCCTGGATTACGTTCACGCCAGGCTGTTTGCATTATCTCGTATTCGGCTTTACCAGTATCTCCCTCGCACGTGAAAAAGGTCTGATGATCCTGGGCGGATAAATTCATGTCGTAATAAGTCAGGGGCTCTTTATTGGTTGCCCAGTAAAACCGCTGGTACTCGGCCCCCCGGAATAGATTCAGGGGATTTCTCCAGACCTTGCACTCGGGGACATTCTGCTGGGATGATGCATTCGTGTTGTTCAAGGGAGTACTTGCTGATTCGGTGGACGTCTCTCCACCCCCTATCCAAGGGGAGATGTGATTCAGGGACACCTGCTCTATGAAGGAGGTGCCGTACTTGCGGAAATACCACCATTCGAAAATTAAAATCAACCCGGAGATCAGAGAGGAAGTGCCAGTCAGGGCGACGTAGAATTTTGGGGTCAGGGTGCTCAGGAACATCGTCGAGTCCCACATGCTGGTGAAGAGAAGTGCCATTTAGAGATGTTTCTCCTGAATTCTGAAATTTTATTTTTATTTTATAATTAGCCTTTTATTTATCCAATTTGCAATTTTTTTAAATGAACTTGTTGTTGTCTTTAATGATAATTTTGATCTTTTATCACTTGTCTTTTATCTGTTCTTTCGTTTATTCAATTTCCCTTTAGGTTGTTGCTCTCAAATAACGCTTTATTGTTTAATACTTCATGATCATTCATTTTGTAAACAATAACAAAAATCGCGATGAATGTGCGAATCATGTGGGCATAATATGACGTAATAAATCCACGAATTAATTCTCGTGCTCATTGATTAATTTTAAATAATTAAATAGAACGAAAAACCTGTTTCATTGTTAATGTTGTTGTGTTTTCGCGAGGGATTAAGTTCCTTTGAAGGTTAGAATACCTTCAGAAGAGATTTGAACGCTCCAAATGACAGGATAAAATCCTTTTCTCGATGGATAATTAATCCCTAAAATAATTAAAATACTCACGTATTTTTTTTTATCCCAACAGAAGGGTTCTGGCCTCTGCCAACCCCATGGAATTCAATTGTGAAAACGAAACAGGAGCTTTCAGGATTTTTCATCAACTGCCCATTTTCTACACATGCGCAATCATCCGGTGGATTTAAAAATTCAAATACCAGTTGTGATTTTTTTTCGGTGATTGAGGACAGGAAACAATACGACAATAATTAATATATACTGAATGTTTTTTTTATTACAAAACGTCTGTAATTAGGCTACAACATGTAATATAATAGCGTTTGGTCTAGACCCATTATTGAAATGAAAAAGCTTCAACTGCACCATATAGCCCCATATTTTTCAACCACATAAACCCGATAAATCTGCGCCCCAGTGTCTCAAAAGGCAATTGCGTTCGTCATTCGGTATAAAAGATCCATTGCCCATTCTTTAAACAAATAAACTCCCCTGGAAGAATAATTTTTCTGAAAATAATCAAGACAATCATCCCTGGAGCGCACATTCAGAAGAGCCAGATAATGAATTCAAGGAAGAAAAATACAGATTGTACACTGATTTCGTCTACAACGATAAAGACATCCTATCGTGGATAAAAATCATAAAATTATCCCATTAAATCATGATTACAGTCGAATATATATATCTCTATTTCTCGATAATTTGTGTTCACTTGAAAAATCGAATAGTGAATAATTTCTCTGCAAGAACAAAAAGAAAAATAAAGGAAGAAAATATTCATAGAAAACTATCCCAAGCTGCTAAATCTAAGATAATGTAATATCTTTTTTTTTTTTCATCGATAATTTCTATTTATATTAGGTATATGCATGTACGTTCTTTATAACTAAAACAGATATATGATTTTGCTGGGCAGAACCATTTATCGGCTTTCCATTTGTCCGAGGGGAAATCAATGTGTTCATCGATCATTTATTTCATTTAGTATCGAAGGGGCAAAACTTTCAGTCATTTTTAAACTCTAGTTACGAGATCATTATTAATTTAATAATAACCAATCATTCGTTACATTATCGTCTACTCTTTAAATATCTCTGTCACCGCCATGAATGTTTTGCACTTTCAATTTATGATTTCAGTCATCAGCTTCCCCCCAGAATTTTCATACTATATATTTTTTATCCATGTTTCATGTAGAATAATTATCCAAGTAAAATTCTGTAAAATACAATATACTCCTAATATAAATTCTTAATCTTTTGTTGTTTTTTTTCTTTATAAATAGTTATAGTAGTAGTCTTCACACCATTTTTTGTTAATCATCGATAATCAGATGCCGTTATTTCATTATTTTTTTTTTGTTTGTAATTTCGTTAGTTTAAATATTACATTTGTGCCCTTTTGCACTAACTTGTGGTTCGTCTCATAATCCCCCGTTTTTGTTTATGACTGTTTATATAATACATGTAATATAGAATCTAAAGGAATCACTCGTATGTACATATATACAGATTATACGCATGACCGATTTCTTATCAATCGTTCAGGAAATAATCGATCGTTCAAAAATCATTTTACTCGGCATCTCCTACCCACATTATTCACGTCATAATTCATTTAATATCTCGGTCTGTTTTATTGCTTTGCCCATAGTCAAGTCGCAATTATAATCGACAGATTATTTGAAATATTTTATCTCTCGTTATGAATAAATTTCGGTGGAAACAGGTACTTGGCCAACCCAACTCTCAACGATAGCAGATAATTGAAAAATGGCACTTACCAAAAATCACATGAAAATATCGTGATCAGGTGGAGGGGATGAAGGGCGACTCAAAATTTTACCTCTGGAATCAACGAAAAATCGATGGATTCCAGATGAAAAATGTATTAAAACAGTAAAAAGAAAAAAAGATCATTCTACCCCTTTCAAAGTGACTCCAAAGAACCTTCAACCCTTAATTTACCCCGAGATTTTCGTCTCACCATCTCCTCCTCCACCAGAAAACCCCTCGCTATCAAGAGTTCCTTAATCCTCAACGTTGGCCAAGAATTCACTCATGCTACGAATCAAGATCATCCTCTCGTTGACTGCTGAAGTAAGAAACTAGGCCCCCAAACTCCCCACTCCCCTCCTCATCGTACTTTCCATGTGGTCCATGTGGCCCATGTGCTGGTCCCTCACCAGGTGGATGACTCGTTGAATGACTCGTTGGATGACTTGCCTGACTGCTCTGTCCAGCAGCAGGTGGTGGTGGTACAACAGGTGGTGCAGGTGGATTCTCAGACTGGCCAGAAAAATGTTCACTGGGATAAGGTGATCCCTGATAAGCAGCATCATCACTGGACATCGGTGGTGGTGGATAAGCTCCATAATGATAATTTGGTGGTGGTTGTGGATGATAAGGTGAAAAATTTCCAGGTCTATTAGGTGGTGGTGATGGCTGCTGTATCGAGTGATTACCGGATGCTGTTGTAAAAGGTGGAATTGGATGCCTAGCAATTTGTGGATCGCCAAATCTCAGTGGTCCACCTCTGACATATGGTGGAGGTGGTGGTGTGGGTCCTCCTTTGGCAAGAGGACTGCCAGCAGCTGGTGGAATCATGGCAGGTCCTGATGCCAGAGGTGAGCTCCTGTCTCTGCTGGTTATAGAAATTGGTCCACCACCAGAGGGTGATGGATCCATGGGATGATGTGGTGTATGATAAAGCTGAGATGGCCCTGGTACTCTCATCCTCATCGGCGGTGCTCCAGATCGAACGGCAAAATGAACTGGCAGTCCTGGTCCCCCGGGTCTCGAATTATAGGGTGAGGGAATTCTCCCTCTCGATGGGAGATCGTAACCCCCCCTGGGTCCCATCATGGGATTTGCAACTCCAAAATATTTCTGTCCCATTGCAGCAGCTGCGGCTGTGAATGATTGTGGAGCACTTGAGGCTATTGGCTGTGCCTGGAGCATTCTCGTTATCACGGAAGACTGTTGACTAGGCAATTGTGGATAAATCTGGGACTGAGTAACTGGTGTTGGTGGTATCAGTGGTGGTGTTGATGGCGCAGAACCCGATGTCGATGATCCAGGAGTTGGAAGGGGATTCGGCAGATCGTCAGGTCGTAGATCAGTATCAATTCCAGCTGCTTTTGCAGCTGCTTCAGCGCGTGCTGCCTCCATAGCGAGAGTCTTCTTCCCCTTTCCCCTGCCTCTGCGTTTCGGTTTCATTGGGGAGCCGTCTGGATTTAACAGCTGCCCATCAGGACCAGTTATCAAATGAGGGAGCAAGTGCTCCTGGTGCCGCTCCATCTCAGGAATCATCTGTGGAAGATTCATCGGGCTGACAGCGGGTGGAGGGACAGGAGGAGGTGCTGATCCTCCTGGAATTGATCCCCCAGTTCCTCCAAGAGGTACTCCAACTCCTACAACTCCTACACCTCCTACAACTCCACCAACTACCGAAGGTACTGGCAGAACAGCTAGAGCTGGATCTGCACCCCGTCTAATCTGCTCAGCCAGAATTTCCGCTTTACTCCGTCTTCCTCGTTTCTTCTTCTTCGGTGCCTCACCATCCGCCCCCTCCGGAGCATTAGGATCTCTCTGCTGCTCAGCAGCTAAAATCTCCAGTGCCTTCTGCCTCGCCTTCTCCAATTTTTTCGCCTCTCTTTCCTCTTTTTTCTTGTTCTTCGCTATTTCAATAGCCGCGAGCTCCAGCTGCCTACGCCCGTACTCCTCGTCCTCCATCATCATCTGGGCTAATTGCTCATCATTAAGATCCCCGAGCTCCTCCGGGGCTAAACTCGCCAGTGATCCCTCCACTTCCCCGAGAGATCCCTCCAAGGGAATACCACCCCCAGGTGATTTCGATAGACGTGGTTTATTTTTACTTCCAGGCTTTGGCCCTGGCTTTTTCCTCTGCTTCGGCTCTCCATTATCCACTTTTCTCCCTGGACTCTTCTTTCCTCTCCTGTTCTTCGGTGATTTGTGTTTGCCTCCTGTTCCCTTCTGGGGTGAATACTCATCAGCAGAATCCGAATCCTTATCGTTATCGTCCTTGTGCTCCTCTCCATCATTCATCAGGAACTCGTCCTCACTGTCCTCAGTCTTCCTCAGGGCTTTCTTGAGTTCCTCCTCGCTGTCAGACATTATCGTATCGACTTGATAATTTATCTTTCTCCCCCTCGTTCTCCTCCCCAGGGGCTCGTCCTCTTCCTGTGGTCTGTCCTCAGGTAATCCTCCATAAATAATTTTCCTCCTGATGGTCTTCTCCTTCTTCTTCTTCTCCCTCTTTTTCTCAAGCTCCGGGGCCTCCAGTACGAGCTCCGGTGGCTGCTCCTGTGGTAAATTCCTCTCTAGTGGCTGGGGCTCATCCTCAGGTACTCCAGGAGTTGTCCTCTCGGAGTCATCCTCCAAGGGGATTTCCTTCTGCTCCTGGAGGATCGGTGGTGTCTCCTCGGGAGCACCTGCAACCTCTGCCTCTACCGGTATTTCCTCCTTCTCCACAGGCACCTCCAGCTCTGGTGGACGCTCAGCCACAGCCACAGGCGCAGCCACAACTGGTTCCTCCATCTCTCCCTCCTCCTTTGGCGATTCCTCGTTATCACTTCCATTATCAGAATCCATTTGCACAATTCTTCTCCTCTTCTTCTTCTTCTTTCCCTTTGGCTTGGGAATAGCTCGAGTTCTCGGCAAAGAACTCGTCTTTCCCCTTTTCTTTCTAGACCTCCAGGAGTTGTCACTCTCCTCGCTTTCACTTTCCTCATCCCAAATCGATCTTGATTTCTTCCTCTTGGGTTTATCCGAATCATCACTATCGTCATTAATAAAATCTTCGTCATACCTCTGCCTCCTGGCCGCTCTGGTAGATCTCCTCACAGGTCTAGTGTCACGTTTACCTTTTCTCCTGGTGTCAGTGTAGCTGTCATCCGAGGAGATCATCTGGTCCTCATAATCCTCTTCGTAATCACTGGACGTCCCCTTGAAGTCCTCATCCGACTCAGGATCATCCTCACTGCTGATGTCAAGACTGTTGAGCTTTCTATGTTTTTTCTTACCCAGAGATTTCCTCAGCACTATTTTCTTCTTCTCCTCCTCGTCGTCATCGTCATCGTCTTTTTCGAATTCCTTATCGCTGTCTCTCTCGGACTTCTCCTCCTCGGGTTCCTCTGGCTTCTGGAAGGTATCAGGTGCCTCCTCCTTCTCAGCATTCACAATCGTCGAGATGTCCTTACCTCTGCCCTGATTACCTGCACCCTGGACTGCCTCAACCTCGTCCTGAATTGCTGCATTGATCATATCGTCGTACTCATTAAATTTGTAAGAGGTATTGGCACACCTTCTCTCTCTCAACTGATAAACCGGCTCGCTTTCCTCGCTGCTGCTCTCAGACGTGGAAGTGCCACTCGCTGAGGATGAGGATGATGAGGAGCCAGAGTCTGATCTAACGTCAGAGCCAGAGTCCTCTCTGCTGACCTCAGAGTCACTCCGTGCAAGCTCTTTCATCATTGCTCTTCTAATGACTTCATTCGTCGGTAGTACATTATCAAGACTGATCCCCACGTATGCCAGCCTCTTTTTCCTGAGGACCTCGTTCTCGTGCTTCTTAACGCTCTGGTCGTAAGTCTTGAGGCTCTCCCTCAATTTATTTATGAGAAGGGTGTGCTGACAGGGTGGACAAAACCAGTCACCCTCGGGGATGAGCATCAGCGCTGGACGTAGACAGCTGCAGTGCCAGCCCTTGTCGCAGGTGTCGCACAATAAAATCCACTCAGGATGATCTGCCTTTCCACATTTTTGACAGGCGTACTCATCGGCTTCCTCAGGGCCTTCCTCTGATTTCTGAGCTGTTCTGGCGCGTCTCAGGGGCTCTGACTCAGCGTCTTTCTCCAGATCACTCTCTGGAGAAAATTCGTGGTCACTCTTAAAGAGAAGGGAATCCTCGGACTCTGTCTCCTCCTCCTCCTCCTCCTCCTCTTCATGATCCTCAGTATCTGAGGAAGAACCTGATGAGCTCTGCCAGGGTTTCGCCTCATTGAACCTCATCATCGCTTCTTTTTTCTTTCGTTTCTTTCTTTTCTTCTTCGATTTATCCTTGTCCTTGTCCTTATCCTTCAGGAACCTGTCGACCTCACGAATTCTCACCTCCTCATCAGAGTCCTTGTCCTTCTTTCGTTTCTTCTTGTTTTTATCTGACTCTTTATCCTTTTTTGATTTCATGTTCTCGAGGGTTTCCTCTTCAATTCTCCGGCGATCTGCCTCCTCTTTGATTTTGATCTGTGCAATTCTACGAGATTGTCGAACTGGTGCCTCCCCAGGATTCTGCTGAGGGTCAGCCTCCACGATGTCAATCCCAATCTCCAGTCCCAGCACCATTTTTCGTTTCTTTCGTTTCTTCTGGATGGGAGTTGTTTCCTCTTTCTTCGGTGTGTCTAGAGATTCCCCAGGTGTTTCACTGGGATCTTTCTTCGGTGGTCGAGCCTTTCCCCTGAAACCCTTTCGCTTTCTCCCTTTTTTACCCTTGGGCTTGACATCAGCATCCTCAGCCTTTCGATTCACTTCCTTCAGAACCTCAGACAGTGGCTGACACTCATCGTCAGATGACAGATCCCCTCGACTGGCCTCCACTGATTTTCTGAGATTAATATCTGGACTTCTTTTTCCCCTGAGTTTTATCCTCTTGCCCCCTGCGTCGTCGGTTTCTTCGGGGAGTCCGTCCTCGGGGTTGGATTCTTGAGCAGAATTTCTCCGTTTTCTCGAGGGCTTCTGCAGGGGCTGAGGGGTCTGAAGGACCTGGGGCTCAGTAGAATCCAATTTCCAGTTGTCGTACTGCAGTTCAGAGACTTCCTTCACTTTTATTACCCCCACCTTCGAGGACTCCACCTCAGATTTCGACAACTCCTCCAAGGGCTCAACGTTGTTCAATTGAGGCTCGTAGATACACTCATTATCGATTCCCATGGAGTCCTCGGAGTCATCAGACATCTTCAAGGGGTTGTTTATTTCCTGGGGTTTGCATTCCTCCAGAACTTCTGGCTTCTGCTCTAAATTATTAGGGATCTCGGTCTTGATGTCCGATGGCCTCTCGACGTCGTTCACGTCCTTGAAATCCTCTTTACTGGATTTTATCGGGGGCAGGTCCTCCGGGTCTTGCTCCAGGTGTAGACGCTTGCTCGCCTCCTTCTTCACGTCTGACTTATCTTGAGAAACATTCAGAATTATCTGGGGCTTCAGTTCCTCGAATATCGGCTTTGGCGATGTCTTCAAGGTCTCCAGGATATTTCTTTCTGGTTTTAACTCTTGGAGGGAGTTGTGTTCCACCTGGAGGAGCTCTAAGGGCTTCTGGAGGGTCTCATTTTTTGTGGATAGTTCGGTCTCGGTTCGAGGACGCTTTGACAGCTGACGAATTGGAGATGTTTCCTCGTCTGACTCCAGCTCCTTCCTCTGGTGATCGTTCATCGTTATCACACGGGACTCAAAGATCTGCTCCTGAAGCACTGGGGACTCATCAATTTTTTCTTGAATTTTTACTTCGGATTCTCGTGGAATTTCAGATTTTTCAGGGATTTCTGGTGATAATTCAGGAGCTGGGGATGATTCCGACTTCTCGGCTTCGAGTTCAGGAGGGGTGGATGCCTCTGGAGATTTTTCCTCCGGGTCCTGGAGTTTTGAGGAGACTTCAGGCTCCATTTCCTGGAGAACTGGTGGATTTTCCGGTGGATTTACTGCTGGTTCTTCCTCTGGGAGTGAAGGGGGAGGTTCGTTCGTCGGTTCTGTCACCTCCTGGGGGGTTTCCATATCCTCAGGACTTGAGGACGACATTTTCTCCTCAATCTGAAGCTCTGGGGGCTCCTCATCGTCGTCGTCGTCGTCCTGGTTGAGGGTTGCAGCGATCTTCTCGATGTCTTGATTATCGATCTCTATTGGGGTTTCGGGTTTCGATGAGTCGAACATGTCTGGCGAGTCGAAGGGCTTTTCATCCAAGGGAATTTCTTCAGGAGAAAAAACTGGTCGTTCCGTCTGATTTTCAGGCGTTTCTCTGGCTAGATTGGCCGAGAGATCAACAGGTGTAGGATTTGCAATTATTTCTGGCTGTTGCGGCTCTTCAGGATGTGTCTGAACCTCAGGAACGGGTTCCACAAGTTCCGGTGTTGTTTCAACAGGTCCTGGAACTTCTGGAGGAACTTCTGGAGTAAATTCCACCTCTGGAGGCGTTTCTGAACTCGACTGGATGGATTTCAGCTCTTCAGGGGGTTCTTCTGGTACTCTGGGAGGCGATTCCACATCAGGAACGTCAGGAACTGCTTCTTGAATTTCACAGGGGAATTGTGACACCTCGGGGAGGACCTCTGGGTCTTGGGGGACGGATTGAATGTCTGGAAGAACAGGTGGAACTTCTGAGACTGACGGAAATTCCTCCAGAACGTTTTGAGTCACTTCCGGAGTCGTTTCTGGCTCCTCAGATTCTGGAGGAGTCACGTCGAAGACGTCGTCACTTCCGATTAGATTAGAGTCATCACTTCCGTAATTAGCAACGAGCGATGCTTGAGAGAGCAATGAGGGTTTTGTTCTTAATTGAGTGTCAGGTGCCGCGAGCGGAGACTCCAGTGGAACATCTTCTGGAGCAGAAATTGCTAGGTCTTGGGGGGTGGTTGGACTTTCTGGAGATTCTGGTGACCTTTCTGGAGGTTTCGAGACTGTTTCCAAGGGAATTTCCTCGGGTACTTCGACAGGATCCTCTTCGGAAGTGGATGAAACAGCCTCTGAAGGCTTTTCTTCTGAAATTTCAGGCTCTGGATTCTGTGGAGACTCGTCCTGAGGCTTTTCTGAGAGCTCCTGCGAAATTTCTTCAACAATTTCAGGATTTTGTTCGATTTTAGAGATATCCTCGAGTTTATGAACCTGAGGCTCGATATTTTCACGTTCTGGTGAATACTCTTCAAGGACTAGTGGATTATCTTTAATTTCTGGAGAAATTTCCTCAGTTTTTTTCGCTTCAACATCATCCCTCTCAGTTCTAGAAGAATTTTTTTCAATATCTGGAATTTCCTCATTCTCCGCTGCCGTCTCCTCAGGTTCTTTGCTCATTGAACAAAATTCATCAACTACTTCTGATTCCTCTATCTCAGGCTGCGCCTCCCCTGACGTTTCAGTCTTGGGGTCAATTTCATCAATAGTCGAGTTAATTTTCTCCCCCTTGACCTTGGAATCAGTTTCAATGCTTTCTAATGCCTCGTCGAGCTCCCTCTCTTCCTCTTTAGTAGGAGAAATATCCTCTTGAGAGGGTAGAAGGTCGTCACTCACATCACCAAACCTGTCAGCTGCAACTCCCTCTTTAAATCCCGACCCCTCGATTTTCTCTGGATTCCCACATTTTCCTTCGTCACTGATTTCTTTCGTCGACTCATTGGAATCCGATTCTCTGTCATCGATAACCATCGCCTCATTGGAGTCCTGATCCAGTGAGACACTCCTGTTGTCATCGGCATCAGTATTTTTCGCCTCCGAAGTCTCAGCAAGTGCAATATTAATCCTCTCAGGTGATTTGAGAGCATTTCCATCAACAATTGGAGCTGGTGCAACAGTTGCCGCCCCTCCTGGGCTCAACTCCTCCTCGTCATTCGAATTTATGATAGGCCCAGAGGACTCCGGAAGCATCGATTCCGCTTCAGTAGAGTCCACCTCATCATCCTTGTCCTCTGGAGTGATAAAATCTCCAGTCGTCGTGGACGTCGTCTGAGGCTCTTCTGCTGTCCCAGTGGATTTATCATCATCATAAACTGTGGAAACAACTTCAGAGGACTCGGGATCGGTGGATTCAACTCTAGACCCTGAGGAATTCGTCACCAAGTCGTCACTAGATTTAATAACAAGTGAGGACTCTGGATTATCTGATATCGAGGGCTCAGGATTCTCTGAACTGACGATTAACTCTTTAATTTCTGAGCTCTCTGGAGAAGCCGATGTTCCCCCACTTTCTTCACCCTCAGGATCACACCCTCTCACCTCTGACCTAGATACAATTCCAGTGACATCATCCCCTGGACATTTAGTCGCCGCCTCTGAAGTATACGACACACAATTCGGCCCAAAAAAAAACCTAGGGGCATCATCATCATCAGCAACACTTGCCTCTCCAGTTGTAGGTTCAGAAATCCTCGACGAAGAAATAGAATTCTGATTAGTCGTGCTGGATATGTCGCCCTCCCTGATGGATGTGCTATTGAGATCATTTCCAGAGAAAACTGATATGTTATCCTCGACGATGCTGCTGTCACACTCTCGTTTCTCCTCAGTCTCCCTGACGTCCCACCTGGAGAGTCTCTTGGAGGTGCTGCCAGGGGATTTAGTGAATACCTGAACCCCCAAGGTTGGCTTGAATTTGACCTTGGATGATGCTGACGACCCCTGGCAATTGCCCTCGTCACAGTCATTCACCAGTGATTTAATTCCCACTTCCTCGTGCTTCTTAACATCACCGCAATTGTCTTTTGATTCATTGCTCTCTTTATTGTCACTAGAGGTTTCATCACCGGGGTTTCCAGTGTCACAATCAACACCATTTCCTTCCCCCTGGAAGAAAAAAGTCTCCTCGATGGCCTCTCCGACCTCGTCATCCTGTGGAGGTCTTCCAGCTTCGCACTCACTCCCAGAGCCCTCACCCTGAACCATCATCAAGGGTTCCTCAATGGCAGCCCCAACCTCTTCTCTCCTCCCCTTTCTGGGTATCAAATCACCCCTCAATCGTTTCACCATCTCCTGGGGATCTGATGCCCTCTGCTCCTCATCGTGACCCCTCTTCATCCTCATCGATGACAATTTACTGGGATCAGGTAGAATTGAATAATTAGGAAGCCTGTGCTCTTCCTTGGGCCTACCAGGATTGTGATAACTCTCGTAACCAGTGAACACCGGTCTCTTGCTCAAATCCATCATCGTGGCCCTGAGGATGGGCCTGTCGTAGCTCTCCTTGGATTTTCTGGTGGATAGATCGATCTCTCGGGCTTGAAAGTCATTTCTAAAGGATGATTTACTCAAATCCATGCCTGAGAAGTCAACTGGACGATCATTCGAGGACTCCCATCCTCTCGGCGACGTTGACAGGTCCATTCCCCTCGCCCTGAAGTCCTGGGGCTCGTCTCCATTGGTCATTGATATGCCTGAGGTTCTTGCCAGGTTCTCAGCGATTTTTTCGAGCTTCGAAGCCCCTGGTTTTTCTAATTGCAGACGAGAGAGAGTGCAGGGGACCTTCGGGGGCTTTTGCAGCTCCTGGTGGAGCTTTCTGGGGTGCAATGGCTCTAGCCTATCATTCAGCAGGGGTTTCTGCTCTTGGGGATGATGAGGTTTTGGGGGAGATGTCGTTATCACTGGGGTTTCAATGGATTTCAGGATTGTTTTGACCTCTGGGGCCTTTGGAGATGGAATTGACGGTTTTTGAATGGGATTAGGAGACAGAGGTGGCTTTTTAGGAGGGGGAGGGACGTCTGAGTCCTGGGAGTCCTCTTGGCTGAGATTCGAGGAGTCTCGGGTCAGCTCTGATGCCTCTGAGGACTCCTCTGACTCTTGGAGATTTTCGGGCGGTGGCTGGAGGGCTGGGGATGTGGAATCGTTCTCTGGGGAGTCTAGAGATGGGGAGGTCACCTGGCCTGTGTCGGTGATCGGCTTCTCTGAGATCTCAAGGCTGTTGCTGTCCTCATTTATGGGAACTGGAGCTGCTTCACCGTCCGCTAGCGTCGAAATGAGGTTCATCAAACCCTTACGATCCCTGGGAAAAGATTAGCCACATGAACTTTTTAGAGATGGCTTTTTTTATCCCCACATCAAGTCTCTACTTGAATTAATTGTTATTTATCGCAATTATAAAATTTATCTACTCACTTGGCAACTAACTCCCAACTCTCCTCATCCAGATCCTCTCTGTAAACTCTCATATTGCAGCCATCGTCCAGCTGGAACCAATAGGATTGACCAGTCTTATCACGTCCAAGTGGCTCCAGTCGCAGTTCATTGGCAGATAATTTATTTATTTCATTTTTGAATCTTTGATTTAAGTCAAATTGTGACTCCAAAAGCACCTGATAAATATTTACAAAATAATCGTCAGTTCATCAAATTAAAAATTTCTCCCTGAAAATTAATTAATTACTAAGCAGCACTTTGTTTTACCTTCAGTAATCGAACTTTAACAGCAGTACGGACTTTTTTATATCCGAATCTCTCCACTTCCCAGCCATCCTGATTCGAATACGTATGACAAAATTTAACAAGCGCTTTCTCCCATTTTTCAGCTGATACACTCTTTCGAGTTTTCCGTAAAAGTTTGATGTGTAGATCTATCAGTGGTTGGGGCACTAGGAACAGGAATTATGAATTGAAATTGACATTTTTCTCAATCCGAAAATTCTCAACAATTTCAGCTTCTCGAATAAACAAAATTACAAAGAAATAACACCTAAATTTAAAAAAATCGATAACTCAAAACTCCAAAATCAAAAACAACCCCCATCCTCCCCCCCACCCTCAAACAATACCAAAAGCCCCACCCCCTGAAACTCTCACCAAGGTCGAAAAACCCCTGAAAACCCCATCATCCCCGAAAAATAGTAAGCCCAAGAATTTCCAACTCCATAACTGTCACTCCATCATGTCAACACCCCCCTCCCCCTGCCGCCCCTTAAACCCCCCACCCACAGAAACAGTGGAAGAAGCTGAAAAGTCGGTTGGAGGTAAAAATTTCCATATGAATTCCCCGCGGCACAAGTGAAACAATGAAAAATGTGTAAATATAAAAATTGGGAAGAAAACAGAAGAGAAAAAGGGAGGGAATTTGTGAATGTCGTGTGTTGGCGCGCAGAGGCTCTCGCGCCCTCACTAGCCTCACAATATCCCACGAATAAATGAAAAAAATAGTTGTTAAAGTGAGAGTATTAACTCACCATCGTGATTATCCTCGAGCATGGACTGTAATTTGGCAATGTCGGGATAACTGATGCCACAGGATTTACCAAAAAACTCGAGAAACGAGCAGATTACAGCAAAATTTGGGTCACTAACGCAGGAGGCTTCGTTATCGGACGCCATTTTTCCTGCCGCCTCTTTGGTTCACACACACGTAATTATTCACATACACACATGTAATTTATTCAGAGGGGGTATTTGGGAGGGAGAGTGGAGGAAAGTGAGGGGAGAGATTGGGGTATTCTCTCATGACTTTTTGATGATTTTGTTGGGCACTCGCGGGTAATGTTTTATATTTTTTATTATTTTTATTTTTTAGGTGGGGGAGAATTTATGAGGAACGCCAAACACCGGCGGACGCCTTCACTGGGGTGACCAGGGACCCCACATTCAGGGGCCTGGGGTGGCACTCACAACAATACCAGGAATTTTCAATCACTTGGTACGTTTATCACTGGTTTTTATCGTTGTCCTGAGATTTTTTTCTTGATGGGAATTAGGGGGGCAAAATGCCCACGGCTCGGAAAAAATTTGACCGATTTTGGGACTGTTTCTTTCGGGGAGAATTATCACCACTTTGGGGTTATTTTTCGCCTGCACTGGGGCAACCCCGGGGTGCACTCTACTCGTTGATTATTTTCACACTTTTGGCGGTGATTTTTTTAGGTTTCAATGGTTTATCCATGTTTTTCGAACTCGAGGTGGCTTTTATATTTTCGGATAATGCGCGATAATTTTGTGATTGTGCCGATGGCAGAGGCGCAAAAACTATGGGCCCCTCCACCTCAACACTGGGGCGCACATCACTGGAGATGCGAGAAGTCGTGCGATAGGTACGACACCTCAGGGGTTCTCAGCTCATGGATTTTTTGTTTTTTTTTTTATTTTCCAAGTGGAAGCATTGTACTCGTCAAAAGCGAAATTTCCAGGTTTTTTTTTTGTGTCAGGATGACGCATTCTCACCTCAGGAATGTGTCATTTTGGGGGATGTCTTTGTGATCCGAGTTCGTAGTTTTATTTTCATTTTTTGGTTTCTGAATGGAAGCATTGTTTTGTCGGATAAGCAATGCCCAATTTTTTGGGTCAGGATGAGTAATTCTGAGCTCGGGAACTCGAATATGTTATTGTACCCCATTTTGGAGGGGGGACGCCACGCCGAGGAGCAATCGGGGGGGGTTTGGGATTTTTTTTGAGTCCGTTAACCTCGCGTAAAGAAAAAAAAACTTTTGGAAGCTTTCGTTAAGATGAATTCATAAATTTTCCTCGCTAAATTCAAGCACAAAAAAATTGTTAATTCATGGATTTATGAGTGAATTTATGAATGAAATCGCGGGGTTCGATTGAATTTTTACAGCGCCCTCCATCCTCAAACATTTCATTTACAATTGTTATGTCTTTCCTCATTCGTAATAAAACGATTACGAAAACCACTTGATAAGATACACCAAGAGAAGAAAATTCCTAAAACAAACGTGACTTGCAATTTCCGAAGACAAAAATTCCCAACTAAAAAACCATTTCATATAAACAAACTTTATTCAAATATCAATCGTAATTACTTTCACAAATTCTTCCGAAAAGCCTCACATCTGGATATTTTCGTCACTCAAATTTACAATTTTCGTATAAAAATAATTCCCCAGCATCGACAACACAATATTACAATATTACAATTGTAATCGCAGATTACAAAAAAATCATCCCTTCCTTAAAAAAATCCTCAAGTCATACACAAAACAACTCAAAAATTAATGATCTAAAAATCCTGAAGTATCACGAAAAACTCAAATCAACTCCTCAAATAAAAAAAAAATAATGATCAATGAATTACTTGGAATTCATTTAGTATCAAAAACGTCTTTTCACCATTGACTTATGGCATTGGCACTTTGTACACGATTTATACAGAAAAAGACTCCTATATACACGAAAAACGTGAGAAAAATCGAGGAGAAAATTCCCAAAGAGTGAGTGATGTCAGTAAAAATGATTTATAAAATAATTCATGGAGAAAGTCATTTTGTTGTTGTTTGTGCTGTGATATTCTTCAACTGCTGTTTATAAATCTCCGCCTCCTCCTCCTTTTTCTGCAATTGTTTCCGATACTCGGCTGCTAATCTCCGTGCCTCTATCAATTGTTTATTCAATAGAGCAATATCCATTACTTGATCTTCAGTAGTCTCTCCGGTTGATGAATCTTCCTCGACTTCCTCAATCTCGTCGTCCAGTTTCAAGAGAATTGGATTTTTCTGTCTCGGAGGGGATTCAGGGGCTTTCCTCTGCAATTAATACACTCCAATAAATTATTCTTTCCGAAGATTTAATTAATTCTCTAGAATCTGCATTTACCTGAATTTTAGGTGTAATCGTTTTTGCATTCGTGAAGTTGGATGAATTATTGGGTATTGAACTTAAAAAAAATTTTCCTGATTTACTATCAGTTGTATTTCTCTTGAGAATGTTTGGTCCTTTCGGGGTAAGGGCAGGCTGACTCTTGTTGAGAATCTGATCAGCCCTTATGGCAATGACTTTCCTCCTGGCTTTGTACGTTGTATTACCGATCTGCAAGTCCTGGAGTTTCTTTCCTCCCACTGATGGATTTCTCGTCAGATTTAAAGCTAATTTTCCAGCTTCTGTCAATACAACAGTCCTCCCACTTTCCATGGCATTCTCAACGATACTAGCATCATTGTCCACTGGTATCATTGTTATTCCATGTGCCTCGAGTAGCCGAAGGGGCTGTTCAAGTCCACTCAGTCCTCCCATCTCTTTTCGCTTCTTAAATGTACTATTTTCAATGCTACTTATCCTATCCGCCAATTCCGCCTCTTTCTCTTGCTCATCGTCACTCGACGGAGCCACATGAATCGGTTGAAAAATGACTTTCTGCTTTTTCATTGGTTGTGCTGCAACAAGTCGATGATTCCATTTTTTAAATAAATTTATTACTAACTCAATTATTACGTTGGATGTGACAGATTTATTTACCTTGCTGAATTTTTCTCTTCTGTTGCAGTTGCTGCTGCATCTCGAACTGCTGCTGCTCCTTCCTCTCAGCCTCCTGCATCTGCATCAAACTGTGAGTAGCTTCTTCAATTTCAGCTGTATTTGCCTGTCTCTGTTTTTCCTCTCTCAATGTAAGAATTTCTCGCTCCTGTTGTAAAATATCCACTAGATCCAGTCTGTCGTGCTCCAGGGCCAGACTTATCGGGGTTTTATCGAATTTACTTATGGAATTAGCGTCTGCCCCGTGTTCTAGGAGGACGTGCATTACCTCCTCGTGCTCTCGCTCCACTGCCCAGTGGAGAGGAGTCATTCTTAACTAAACATCAATTTTTCCCAATCACTCAGATAAATTAATTCCATCGTAATTGTCTGGGGTTGGTTAATTCAAAAATTCAGAAATTGAAATGTACCTTCTAGGCTAGAACGGCTAGTCTAGTTTTTTTTATCACTAATGAGTCATTACAAAACGATAAGATGTGAGATATTACCATGTCTCTGCTGTCGACGTCGGCCCCATAATTCAGCAAGAGAACAGCCATTTCGTGGTGGCCCTCGTAGGCTGCCATGTGCAGAGGTGTTCTGTCCACCTTCGTTCTAGCATCCCTGGAGATGCCAGCGCGAAGGAGTACCTCAGCTGTGTCCACGTGATTGCTCTGAGCTGCGAGGTGCAGAGCACTCGTTCCCAACTGGTGAACCAATTATTCTCAATTATTCATGGACATGCACCAGATATTTTCATATTTACCCAATCAGATGTGAATGGGGCACCGCGACACATGAGATCCCTGACAGTCTCAGTCTCTCCATTTTTAGCGCTCAGCAATAATTGTTTTCCTAGTTCAACAATCGACAGGGCATCCTGTGAACGCGATCGTTGTGAATCATCACGAAATAGGAATTCCACCTACGTCAAACGTATCTCAACGATGTTAATCTTCTCTTTTACATTAGTACAATCACTCAAAATTCTCTCATTGAAAAATTTAAAAAAAAAAACAGAATTAAAAAAATAGTAAAATAACGGGAAACACTGAGGGAAAAATATTTTGAGATATTTCCCCTCCAGTGAAACATCCATTTCTGGAGAATTGAATTTTAGGATTTTTAAAAATACTATTGAGAATATTATTATATAATATCTCTTTAAAAATTCTTCTCGAAATTTGAAGAATCCAGAAAATTCACTTTCTCCAGGAATTCCCCACCGGATTCCATTGCACTCACAGGAATGAGATTTTCCGCAGTCAATCCCTCGATATCATTAGAACCGAGAATCTCCGCTTGCATTTTCGCTGAGATATTTCAATTCCACCTGGAAAAAAATCTGAAAAGCACAGAGTCATTAAAAAAAAGAGAATGTCCCACTAAAAATTATAAATAAAAATCCGAAATTTCCGTGGAATGCAAAAAAAATTGTCGAGCCACTGCCAGTGCTGATCCAAACAGAATGATAATCCCCCTCGTCTTAAATAATCTCCCTGGGAGTAATGAAAGCCCCCGGTGAATGAATAAACATTTCAACAACAAAGCCCATTATTTCGAAAAATTCAATTGCACAGGATGTTTTTATTTAGCCATCTGAGCTGTTGGACATGAACTTCCTGTTCCTGTTCATTGAACGGAAGTACCTTGCCATAGGCTCCGCATATTCATCCCTATTGACGTTATTTAAACTTTATTTGAGATATTGATAAAGGGTCTTTACTCACGTCAACAACATCATTCGTTGTGATTGATCAATTGATCGGTGCTCGAGCCCTTTTACCGATGATTATAGAACGTGGATGCGTAATTACTTGGGTACAAGTGCCTCGAGATTTACGGAGGTAGAGAGAGATTGTAAAATGGCCGACACTTCGCGCCATTAATACACGTTTGTACTATTTTTAATGACGCTAAACGCGCGGTCGATGATTTCTTTGGGTTTTTTTACGAGAGATTTTCACGGTTTTTGGAAATTTTTTTTGAGACTCTCGACTGATTTTTTCCGAATTGATGGGATCAGGCACTTCCAGAACGTGTAAGAAAGTGATTGCAGCGACTCTCGGGACAGAAAATGCAATTTCGAATCAGATTAGGCTAGGGCGCGGAGAGGATGGAAAATGGCGCGATATTTGAATTTTTATGATTTTCATTTTATATTTTTTCAACCGCTGATTCATGAGATATCCGATGCTTACAAAAAAAAATCAATTATTCATTCCGTCAACAAAAATATTGCATTTCAATTATTTTTTTTAATCGTGGATAATTCCATTGGATACTGGATAATTTTCGCGTGTTATTAAAAATTTGCGAGCACTCGAAAAAATATTAAATATTTTATTGCCGTGAAATTACAATTTTTGCAATATTTTTAGATTATCCTGAAATTAATCCACAAAAATATCATCGCAAACTCATCAACGCAGGTATTACCGTAAAAATAATAATGATAGTTCTGTTTACTTATCATTCATTTTTATTACTCCGTGAAATGTGTACCCAAAGAAAATTAAGTTGATAGAGTTCGATCGAGCCAATTTCCATCAATTTTTAATTACTCAGTGGACGTAATTTTCCCGGCGATCTCATTGAATATTTATCGAGGGATGAGTTTTCCTGGGTTTCAATGACATCAAACAATGGATATTCCATTTTCAGGAAGTGAAAGGGTCCTTCCACTTACCTTTTTCATATGAAAATTCATTTCGGATAAAAAAAATATTTCAACTTTTCTATTCCTGTTATTTTCAAGTTGTGAATGAGTTTGGATTTCGCATAAAACTCCCGAGTGATCTCATCAGCATCTATCCCCCGACGAAAATCGCATTTCTGACCTAGTTCCTTATTTAATTTTTTTATTCGAATTTATTACCCCATCGTCAGGCCAGCCGGATATGCATTCGACGGACTGAATTTCCGGTACCTGCTTTTCCCCATTTTTAATCACAAAATAAAATACAATCCGCAAACTCGAGGAGAGAAAATACAATAATTTATTTATAAAATCCTCAACTCCTCGGGTCTCTGGGGAATTTGTTGAATTATTTGTTGAATTATCAAGGAAGAAATATAATTACAGAAACAAGTGTAACGCGAGCTGCAATTCGAATGATAAATTATTTTTTCCCTTTCACTGGCTTCTTCTTCTTCTTCTCATCCGGCCGATAGGGTCCAAGTTTTCTTCTGACCATAACTCCTCTCCACCAAGATTGTATCAGAATGGCCGAATACTTTTTATACTCCTCCATCTCCCTGAGAATTCTGGCAGCATCTTTTTCTGCGAGATACTGCTCAATAAACAGCTGTCTCTCACTGTACTGTAAAAATAAATCGACGAGTATTACAGAAATTTCAGGATAGAAAACTCAATTACGTGAGAGCTGTCAAAAAGATAATGGAGTGGTGAACAAAAATTCAGGCCACGATACCTCGAAAAATCCCGTGATTACCCGTTAATTCTCCATTTAATTGCGAGACGGTTATTTCATCTTGTTGAGAACCTCGAGCGAATTTAATTAAAAATGAATTTTCACAAATAGCAGAGGATATTGAGCAAAAGGCAAACGTATTTAATTATTCATCCACCGCCTACCTCAATAATTCCCTCAAACTTGCCAATTAAAAAGTTAATTCATTAATATTTCCACAAAATAATAAAATTTGATTTATCCATTTGAAATTTATTAATGAATTCTCAAAAAATGGACTGTCAAAAAATATTGATTCCTCATTACCTCGGAAATTCGGGAGTCAATGAAATCCAACGTATGGATTAGAATACCAAAGTGGCATTCGAATACCTCCGGAGTCTGTAATCGATTTTCACCGTGTGGAGGATATCCTGGTGACAGGGGGAAAAGGTTCAACCCGAAGCTCTCTCGATTATTCGAGGTGGAAAATGGCCGAGTGGTTTTGTTAACGTCAAAAACACAACTACCCAAGCTCACAAACACCCATCCCACCTTTGCCTCGAGTTCCTGAAGAGTGGAGCGTCTACTCTCGATGTCTTCTCGCAGTTGATTATTTCTATTGCTGTACATTTGCATTTCTCGGTCATACCTTTTCGCCCAGTTGTCCGTAGCTTTCACGTTGAACTTGAAGGGGTTAAACATAAAAAATAATAAATTGTATTTTTCATTAATCAAATGGATTTTTTTGGATTATTTCCCACAGCTAGTTAATAAATTAAAACCGGAAGCCATTTATTGGTAATTAAGGAGTAAAACTCACAGCGATATTTTGTTTGAGAAATGCCTCGATTTCACGAGCAACTCTACACTCGTTTTTCTTCAGGATTAGGATATCTTTCAGGGATGTTCTTAGGTACTCCAGTGTGATGTTACAGCGTTTCGTATTCTCCTCGCATTGGGCTGCTTCCCAGGCACTCGTGTATCCAGTTTCACGGTTTATTTTCAATTCAATTTTTTGTTTTTCATCCTGCAGAGGTAATGGATGATGAAAATTTATGGAGATTTACTCAGCAAAAATTCCACTGATGATTCTGATTTTTTAATCAATTAGTTGACGAGCCTTTCTTTATTACTTTTAGATTGTTCAGTTGTCTGCGAAGGGTCGACATCTCTTCCTCGTTTTCCATTATTTCTTGTGAGAGCTTTTTCTTCAGGTCTTTCACCGCATTTTCACCAGCGATGTGGCTCAGGATCATGTTGTTCTCTTCGGTTGTTTTTTCGATGGTCTGGTGGATTAGGTTTATCAACCCCGTGTATGTGCCTTTTTCTTGCACTTCTGTTTTTACTTTATCCATAAGCTCCCGAACGTACGAGCTGAGGCAATCAATTTGGTTTTTTTTTTCATCAGAAATAATTTAGGGACTGGACGATTTAATTAATTAGAAATAATTTACCTGTCTCGCTCCAATTTACACAGCATCTCTTGGTGATTCGTTATTTCTTCTCGATTTTTACTTTCCAAAAATAATTATTCTTTTATCATTTCAATAATCGTAATCATCATAAACAATTCATCCTCATTGTTAGGCCGACCCGAGCAAAAAAATCGTAATCAAAATATTTTTTTCAAATTTTCAAAAGATTTCTGGAAAACTTGGGAAAATTCTTCTTTTAAAACAAAAAAAAATCGGGAAATAAAACAATTGTATTTCTGGAAAATGTTTTGAAAATTTCAAAAAAATATTCCGATTACAATTTTTTTTTACCCGGGGAGTTAAAAAACTCATTATTAAATTTCCAAATAGAATGAAATAAAAAGATGAAAAAAATATATATCTGTGGGAAAATGGTTCCGGGAAAGAGTTTTTCTTTTAAAAAATTTTTTTAGCAATAATATATGGTATTCCTCAGTGACAGAATATTTTACTGTAGAATTTTGTTGGTATCAATTACCTGTCTTCATTACCATCCCCGTCGCAATTCCAATTAATCAACGTATGATGATAAATAGCGAGTGCATCAACGCAACTATCCAGTGCTGACAAAAACCACTTACGTGCTGGTGTACACAGTCTAGAATTACCAAAACTTTTGATAATAGTACACTGTCTGTTCCGCAAGTTTTCCGAGTGGTGATTGGACGCCTCCATTTTTCAATTCCTTTAATTTCTTACTCCCCAATTATCCCCCACTTCTTCAACAATGTGTAGAGTTGCTTGATCAATTGTTGCCTAGTGACAAGAGAATCCGCAAAAATATCGCTCGATTTTCAAATTAAAAACAACTGATCCACTCGATTGCTAAATGTCGCATTAAAATTTGATCATTAAGACTAACGATTACCGAACGGATAATGACATTTCCCCTCGATACCTTCCGCCGACTTCCTCAAACCGAATCGATCATACGAGATCTGTTCGATCCTCTCAATTATTACCATTTTCTCCTATTTTCTATTTCCCGATTGCTCATCGCATTTCTCTTTCCACCTGAGATTCGATATAATGTCCATTCAAATAAATTCAATTCGATAAAATAAGTCGATTTATCGATCAGAAAATGAAATTTTTGGGTCGTGAGAGTTGACAGGCAAAATACATATATGGGAGATGTTGATTAAATCTCATCAGGAATTTCCAAAAAAAAGCCATTTGAAAAAAAGGAGTTGAGTACGTTTTTCCACTTTGATTGGAAAAGTTTGGAGCCGCAAGATTTTCCAGCGAGTGTGAGAGAGATAGTCCGTGGTCCAGAGTTTAATTGAATCTGCATTGTTCGACACACGTGCCCGAAACGATCGGAAGACTTCACCCCTTGGCATATATCAAGAATTAATAGACCAGGCCATATGATAAAATCGTCCATTTTCTTATCACGCGGCATCTGGAGAAAAGTTAATCATAAATGGATTTTATGGGTCAAATGGGATTTAATTGAAGCTCGGACTTTAAACTCCGAACGCAGAGAGGGATTTCAATGAAAAAAAATCTAAGTACTCGGATATCCTCAATACTCTTGATTTTTTTTTAAATTGGAAAATTCAGCTCTCGAGGGATTTCACCGGGAAATGATGCCGAGTGGAAAAATGCGGCTGGAAAAATGCCGGAAAGTGATTTTTCACCGAATAAAACTGAAAAATGTTGCATTAATGAAAATTTATTTATTGTAAAAACTCTCAGTGAAATGGATTACACGTGTCTCCGTTATTCAAAGGGTCAAAGAGTCATTAAAAATCATCATCATACTAACAACGTCATTACTCCAAAGATAATAAATATGGATGCAACGAAAATTATATCATCGAGTAACGAGGAAAATTTACATGCCCGATAGACACTATAAATTCCACTCCATCGCTATCCCCTGGAAAATTCTCAAAAATTTTTCATACGACATATTTTTTCCACCCCAAAAGCCTCTTTTTCTCCGCCCCCCTATTCTCATAAATTCCGAATGACGGACATCAAGTAGATACTTTCCGCCGTACGTACGTGTCTCATCATCTGTTTTTTTTTATGCTGGTGGGGAGGGGGGAGGGGGACAATTTTGACCCTTGAAATGGTTGTGGGAGTCGTCCCACCCCTCGAGGGCTCAAAAGTTGTTCACCATGAGGTTTTACCCAACTCATAGCCCCGGGCTTGTCTTTTTTTTTTTCTTCTCGGTTCGTGCGCTTCATAGGAGATACCGTGGGGCACGGAGGGGTAAAGGGGGGGGCAATTGCGAATTTCAGTCATGTGCCGACTATCGTTTATCGGTTCCACTCGTCGATAAATTGCTGGACTATTCGATTCCTCCGGCACACGGTTGTGGAGACCGTCAACTACTGTATGTGCCAAATATATTTTTGAATTTTTTGTTTTTTTCGCGGGGGAGGGTTTTGGGGAATGAGGATGGTAATTCGAGTTTTTTGAGATATTTCGAGATATTTCGATATCGATTATCTTTCTCATTTTTATTTAAAGGAAAAAAGTCAATTCTAAATTAAATAAATTAAAAATTTTGAAGGGGGGCTGGGCCCCCCCTCCACTAGTTATTGAATTGGATTTTTTTATCGATGGAGGGGCGGGGGTAGGAGAGGGAGAGGAGTTCTGAATTGTCAGTAGATCCCAGATTCCACCGAAATATACGGACGAGAAAATAATAACACAAGAATAAATCCACTGCCACCGTAATTCATCAAAGATAAAAAATGACAAATTTTATTTGAAATACTTCCTCCGATCCTATATTTTTTTTTCCGTCTCGATATTGGAATATGTATTGTCACGGTTGCCTTGAGCGTTGTTAAATGGAATTGAGGAGGGTCTAGAGGGTCTGCCGTTGACGAAGAGGGTGATTGGGATTGTTGAGAGAAAGGCGGGAAAACAGAGGGTGCATTGTGCAGGCGCGGAAACATTTTCCAATCCCTCCAAGGTTTATATATATTTTTTTCGCTCGACTGGGTCTTGAGACATTATGAAAACAAATTGTTGAAGGTGTCTCCCTGGAAGCCTGAGAAATCTGACGAAGGGGTCTTTGTCGGGTGGTATTATACCAGGTATTCTTAGAGGTGTTTATTATCCAACAGGATTTAATCACAAATTAGGCGAATGCATTTTCATCATTTATTTAAAAATTCTCTCTCGACTTCGACCCCCAGATTTTTCATTTATTCATTAAACAATATAATAACAACAGCAATAACAATAACAATAATTCCTGATATTGAGTTATTCTTCATAAAAATTTTGGGGAAATAAGATGGAGAAATAAATGAATGAAATTGATGGAATCAGGGATATTCAAAAAAATAAAATCTGGGGGAAAAAAAATGGGAAAAAATTCAGCACGAGGCGGACGAGTTTGCGCTGTAAGTCGGCACGTGACTGAAATTTTGCACCGGCGCTTTGCCAACCCTACCCCCGTTATCATCCCTGTGTTGGAGAATAACGTGAGGGCGGTGGCGTTGGTGCAAAGAGTCTGCCTGCCCTCCCGCAAGTAGTGAGTTGCAACTCCGTTATTCAACATTCGTTTCTCATCACTGGAGCGATCCATTGGTGTCAGACACCAACGGTCTGAGTGCAGCCCAAACATAAAAAAAAATAAAATAAAATCCTAAGAAAAAGTGATGGGAGTTTCCATTAGCCCCGAGTTCACCCGCTGTGCGGGGGATGAATAAACAAATAAAATAAATAATACATTAAAAAAAAAATAACACTGTGTTTACGCGTTACGGGGTTACCGGGTCACCCTGGACTGTCCAAGACATTTTTTAAAAATTGCCATTTTATTTTTTCACCTATCGGGGGGTGAAACATTGACAGGCTGAGGTTTTGGATGAATTTTTTTGGGGGTGAGTTTCGTGACAGGTGATGACGATGATTTTTACCGTGGAGACGCCTCTCGAGGAAGTCTAGAGGCTTTTTGGATTTAAGGTTATAATCGCCGTAACCCTTTTCATCCCCTTCATCGTCATACGCAACCACTCGGACCCGACGAGTGGCACTTGTCAAGCGTCGTTACTCGTTACGTCGGCTGTCACTGGGTGAGTAATTATGAATTTAGTCTCTTTACATTGAGAAACGACAGTTCTTTACCCGCGTCTTGGTCTTCTATTTCAAATGGGAGAGACAAAGGGTGGAGAGGAGGGGGATAATTAGAAAGTACTTTAAGGGCATGATGTTTTACGGGGGGTAGTTAATTATGGGAGAAATGCGCCTCTCAAAAGAAATATTTTTTTT